GGTTAATCATGTTTTGTGAGATCTCAACCCTCCCCCTATTTCTCTAGCCAATGGAGAATAAACAAACACACACCAATACACACAGTAAAACTCAGTTTAAAAAAAGTCCGAGTCCGATGTCAGAATAGGTAAGAAAAGAAACTAAGCAAAATGACAATGATACATAAATTAACAAAGGACTACTAGCAGTTAGTGACATACCAGCTCCAGACCTCAATTAAACTGATTGAAAGATTATGTCTTCATCATATGAAAATAAAGCACAATCCCTTCCGTTAGGGGTTTAGTATCATACCATCATAAAATATATGAGAAAAACATAACCCGTATCATGCCAACAACTTAAATTAGAATAAATGTGTTTATATCCGATGCAAAGTCCCTATGAGTGAATCAATATTAATACCAAAATATGCCATCTTTAATGACCTGACAACAGTATCGTATCTATATCTCTTCTGAATAAGTCTGTATAAAGGTTTGGTTAGCTTTTGAGGTGAATGTCGACATTTTTATGCTTTGTATAGAATATTACCATAAAAGATTGGATGTGAAACACATGAACGTATAAGATGTCTGCATGTTGATTTATATTTACGAATGATGTCCTTGTAACGATGATAAAATTTAGTAAATGTTTTGACTAGTTTGTGATATCGAAAACCCTGGTGTAATAATTTTTCAGTAGTACAAAGGTTTCTTTCGTTAAAATCAAATACGTTGTTACATACACGAGCGAATCGAACAAGCCGAGACATATAAACACCATAAGATGGTGACAAGGGAACGTCACCATCTAAAAATGGGTAATTAACAATAGAAAATGAAAAATCTCTTTTATCATAAATTTTGGTATTAAGCTTCCCGTTAAAGATAAAGATATCAAGATCCAGGAAAGGGCAGTGTTCATTGTTAGTATTAGCTTTATTTAAAGTCAGTTCAGCAGGATGAATCTCTTTAGTGTACATACTGAAGTCGTCATTATTGAGAGCCAATATATCATCCACATATCTAAAAGTGTTATTAATTTTTTGTATCAGATGTTGTTTCGATGGGTCTTTGCTGATTTTAGTCATAAATTGTAACTCATAACAATACAGAAACAGGTCCGCAATAAGTGGTGCTCAGTAAGTCCCCATTGGAATTCCGATAACTTGACGATATACGGAATCTCCATAGCGAACTAAAATGTTATCTAGTAAAAATTCAAGGGCAGTTATCATATCATAGCAGGTCCAATTGACATAGTTCTTTTGTCTGTTGTTACTAAAAAATGACCTAAAAGAGTTAGAACATATATATTCGCATTCTGACTTTTTAGATGCCCATTTAATTAGGTGTGTGGATTTTTTCTTAATAAGATTATGAGGCAAAGTGGTATATAGGGTAGAAAAATCAAAACGTCTTTTTAAAAGGTGTATGCATTTGAAATTCAAGAATATATTTCATATCATATTTGTCCTTAGTTACATTTTCAAACTAAATGAGCGATCCTCCTATAATTTTGCTGCATACTTGCACGATGATTTACTTACAAACCTGAAAAACTGCTATTGACTTCCATATCTTCTTGTAAACATGAAAAACATCTAAAATATATGTTATTTAATTTATTGCGTTTTAGCCGTTCCACCAACGCACTTCGCCGTAACTATCAACAAGATAGCGTCACAATTGAACCATTTTACTTCAGGCATTCAGTGTGTTCCAAAACGCACTTTAGCGTCAAACAATCGCATTTCAGCTTGACCATCGCGGTTCGGAGTAGCATCACGGATCAGAGTCATGAATATATATGATATATTCATCTTCCTTTGCCAATTTTTTAAATTTACGTAACCGATTTTATGACCATAATAAATTTTTCGCGGATTTTTGGGTGATTATTAGCAACATTGTGAAAACAACGCGTTAAATTAAAATGACTTATTATTTACTCTGGCTACTGTTTGGTATGCCCTTAAGAAAATCGCATAAAAGGAGTGACACCGAATGCTTCGACAAGGTAAACGTCTCCTTCTATGCATGAAACGAATAAATATTTAAATGTAATGTCTAAACGCGCTTAGAGCTATTTTCCTAATGATTGTAGTTTATAGGTTTGTTTTGCTTGATTGCTTTGTTTGTATTAATGTTTGCTCAAGCATTGTAATTAAGATTGACATCTGCAATAAATAGATAGGTGGGGCTTAAGCTTGTATACGTTATACGTAAGGTCCAATAAGATTTAAGTGTAATGTACACAAGCTGAGGCCCCGCCTATCTATTGATTGCAGATGTCAATCTTAATTACAATGCTTGAGTAAACATTTATACAAACAATCAAAGCAAGCAAGCCGACCAAACCTTTAAACTACAAGCATTAGAAAAATAGCTTTAATCAATAAAATCATAAAGAAAACAAGATTGCAAAATAGCCGAAAGAGACAAAAAATAGTTCATAAATCACTGCACAGAAAACTAAAAATTGATATAAAAAAGCCAGGGTGACTGCAGATGCTCTGGAGGGATTCGCAGTTCCAGCTCCACTATTGACACCAAGAAACAACGTTTACAGGTCCATTTAATATTTTTCATCATTTGTCAGGACAATCAGTGTTTTATTGCTTTCAACAAAAACATTACAGCTATATTAACACTCTAAAATATTAAACAACTCTTAGTTGACCGCAAACTAAATATCAATGGGGTGGCATTTCACGGAGGAAATATATCAATAGGTAGAAATTTATATATCAATAGGTCATACATATTCATTTTCTGTTATGATGTCTGCAAAAACCATGTTCTGATCTTTTTATCTCATAATATGAATCACAGATCCAATGTGGTTAACATCTCATTGAAGTTAGATGTCATGATAGCTGGGAAATATATTCAAATGGGTTGTGATGTTATTATGAATTCTAATATGACGTTCTTCAAACGCTTGCAGTACACACCCGTGGTAAAATATGAATATATTGTTTGGGCTGTTCCGATCATACTCCCACGTCATATGCTTTTTTTATGAAAGAGCTACCCGACGTCACTGAACGATGATGTAAGAATATAAGCATTTTACGGAAAAATGCACGATTGTGAAACCAAAAATCATCACTACAAGGAAACGTTAACAAACGATGATAAAATGTGTTATAAGCCATTTTTTTTCCATATAAGTAAAATTATCATTTAAATTCATCCCCTTTTTGCTGTCGCTCGTGGTAAAATATTTAGCATAAAGGGCCAACCCGTGGTAAAATCAATATAAATGGGTAGGAATTTCGGATAAATCAATATATGAGTTAGGGAGGAGGGATTTCAAACCCCGGACGGACGTCTGTACATAAATTTGTAGGTTTATATACCTCCTCCCGTGGACGCATGAATATTTTCATGAACATTCCTGTGTCAAGACATTTCAAACAATCAAAACTATGACAACTGACAATATGTCAAAATGTGACTATTCATCCCGAACAGCTGACACATTTACCATCACTTGACCTACTGGCGTTTTGATCCTTGGGGGGTTTTATCAGCTCAAAGTTCATGTATTCATATGCTTTCGGTCAAGATTGTAGTATGCAAGAGAATGATTTAATTAGCCGTATTAGGCACAACCTTTTGGATTTAATGCTTTCTATGCCCTTCAACATTGTGTTTGATTTTGTCTTCCTATCTTTGATTCGAGCGCGTCTTGCGTGATAAATCATACGCCGGGTATTATTGATGTCTGTTTATTTAGCTTATTTAAATTTCCTGTATGTATAGCTAAACACTTTAAAATTACAAGGCTTATAGTTGAATACGCTCAAATGAAAGAAAGATTGAACCCAAAATGATAACGACTAAACGTTACAGACATAAGTCATAGAACTCCATGTTGCAGACGTTTTGATGCCTTTCCTTTGTGGATCACAAATTGTGGTTTAGTTGTTTGGTCGAGTATGGTATAGACGTTGAAAACATAATTACATTGGATTAAATACATGTCGAGAATGGGTCACGACTGTTTCAGCTGATGGAATACAGACTTTAATGTAAGGTCAAGATTAGGATCGAGTATTAATCAGTACAGTCGAGTAGGGTTAATTTGGGGTTAAACTCATTTCCAGTAAAATAAAATTCTGACTTATTCAGAATTGTCGAGTAAGAATGAGTACAGACGAGGACAAATACTGCCCATTTCAGACTTTTACTGGTTTGTAGTATTGTGTTCTGTCATCTTGTGATATTTTTTGCCCGTTGGGGAATTTAGTGGTGATTTCAAATCCGTCATGCAATCTGTTGACTTTGTTAGAGACTTTTCATTTTCTTTTGTTACCTATTCTTACATCGGACACGGACTTCTTTTGAACTGAGTTTTACTGTGCGTATTGCTATGTGTTTCTTTATTCTACATTGGCTAGAGGTATAGGGGGAGGATGGAGATCTCACAAAATATGTTTAACCCCGCCGCATTTTTGCTCCTGTCCCAAGTCAGGAGCCTCTTGCCTTTGTTAGTCTTGTATGTTTATTTTTATTTTTATTTTTTTTTAATTTTAGTTCATTTATATGTTTTGGAGTTTAGTATGACATCCATTTTCACTGAACTAGTACACAATTTTATTTAGGGGCCAGCAGAGGACCACCTCCGGGTGCAGGATTTTCTCGTTGAAGACCAATTGGTGGCCTTCGGTTGTTGTTTGCTCTTTGGTCGGGTTGTTGTCTCTTTGACATATTCTCCATTTCCATTCTCAATTTTATAAGAGCTATTTAAAACTAGGAATAATGTTTTTTTTTGTGTACAATCAACTGGGATTTGTATTATGTATTTGCTTTCAAAAGATATTTGTCTATTCCCGTTGTGTGTGTTCGTGTTTGTTATGAGTTATATTGATCAAAGATAACAGAAATAAAATTAGCAAAAACCATTTAGAATCAATACAAAAAAGTTAGATGGCAAACAATAATTTTGAAGAAAAGCATTTTTATAATAATATTGATAAAAAAATTTCAGTATACATATATGAGTTTAATCAACACTGAATAAGTGTAAAAAGAAAATAGTGAGTCACTGATCATTGCAGTTTATTTCAAATTGTTCTAACCGTGAACATGTTATGCTCTTAAATATAAGCAGCTAAAACGGACTTTAGTTAATATTCTTAAATCCAACTACCGTCTTCTTATCATCATCATTGATGCTTTTAATGAACCATCTCCAAAGCCACTCCAAACAATCCCTGTTTCTCCTGTCCCGTTGTATTTCCCATTTAGGTTTGAATGATAACAGTCATCGTACCACCCGAAGTCGTTATGATTTTGAGTACACCCGTTGTATTTGTTTTTAGTGTAAAAAGATCTACCATGATGATAATTTAATGAGTCTCCTACAATAAGACGAAATGATGGTATATGAAAAATTGTGCAAAGTAAGACAAAAGATGCTATAAATACTTCTAATGAATTGTAAGCGTTAAAGAGAAGTTAACATTATTGATTTAGAAAATGAACTTATTGGATAAGAGACATATGCCGATGAAAAGACAGACAACTTACAAAACAACATTTTCAGAAAAAATACATATGTCGCCAAACATCAAAAGAAACCGGATCACCAAAATTTACTGACAAATGAATTCGTAGCAAGAAGGAGAACTCGGAATTTAATAGCTAGTCTGGCTAGAGATCCGGGAATGTAAATTTATACGATAACATCATCAGAACAGGAGATGAAAGACTTCATTGAAAAAAATACACTCTACATAAATTGACAGCGAAAATGGACCATTCATCCACTTCTAGTATATACCGTACCATCCGATGAAGAAGGAATCCAGCACGCTCTCTATTCGAATTGTATATTGACTGCCTATCTTCAATGTCACCTATTTTGAATAAACTGACAAACGTTCTTACAAGACTAGGAAAATCTAGAATCACATCATACATAGACATTTGTTTTTACATCTAAGACTAGATAAAGAGGACCGAGACGCTACATGATGTTTTTGCTTTTCCAAACCGAATGATCCAACAATACAGATTTAATTTTTGTTTTTTGGAGCGACGTGCTCTCCGTTCATTGTGAATGCGACAATTTTTACACATATATTAATGCTCCCGAGAAAGTATTTACAATTCAAAAGAGAGACTTATTTGTGGATAATGTATTAACTAGCATGGACTCATAGGAATCAGCAGTAAAAAGAAATCGAGAGATTTACTAAAACATGGAGGTGTTAACGTACAATCATTAATGTAAAACGTAACATACTAATTAGTGTGGCCCAGCCAGATGAAGTGATAGATACAGACAAAGTTAGACAATTTTGGGGATACGCTGGAATGCAGTTTCCGCAAAAATAGTTTGCAGAAACGAAACAATTAAAGTTAAATACACAGTTAACAAAAATAAATATTTGCGACAGTCTTTAGTTATATTTGATCCGTTTGGACTACTAGGATTAATTTCCATTATAAGAAACAAAAAGATTGCTACCCGCAGCGAAATTTCCCCGCCGCTGTAAAATTGAGTCTCATAACTCCAATAAAAATAGTCAAATAAAAATTAGGGTATACTATGTTCAAAAATACAACATGGCAAACAGTCCTAAGACTATTATTGATATGATCATCTTTATAAATTAGCTGTTAACAAAACTTTGAATTGTTCGAAATAACAAGGCTTTTCTACACTAGGAATAAATAACTGTAACTGTATGACTTTAGCAAAACCTTTCGGTATTGTGGGTCCTCAAAGCTCTTTAACTTCGTACTTGATTTGGCCGCTTAACTTTTTTTGATTCGAGCGTCATTGATAAGTCTTTTGTAAACGAAACGTGCATCTGGCGTACATAATTATAAGCCTGGTATCTTTGATACGTTGTTTTACTATAAGAGCTTTCTGTCATATGGTATTAGAGTAGTTGCGTTCAGAAGGTATTGTTATTACAATATTCCAAAACTCATCAAAGGTATAAAATTATCGTAAAAATTGTCGAATCAAAATGCCAATATAATATTGTCAACTTTACATGATGTAATCCTAGTATGTGTGAGGGCTTTCTGTCAAATGATCTCAGAGGAGTTGCGTTTACATGATTAATCAGTCAAACAGGAACATCACAAACAATGTATTCCAATAACGAATCTACATGCGACTTATTTTAAATGATTTACAAAGGCAGACATCAATTGGAAATTCATTCCCTAGAGAGTGCCTTGCAATTGCTGCTGCTGGAATGGTTAATTGGCTTTACGAAAAAAAAAATTAATCCATCGCTCCCTCACCTTTATATCGTCAGATATAGGAGATCCCAAAATGAATCCATTTAACCTTTCATACGGAATGATTTCTTCGACGACACAGGTGCACAACGACACATACAACTGCAAACAGTCTTTAGAGAGAAAAAGACTTTTATTAGACCGTTTAAAAAATATTCTCCTAGCTAATACCTTATTGAATTACGTGAACTACATCGACATCGAGCAAACGGAAAACATAATAAACAACTTAATCGTTCAAATAGAAAGTTAATCACCATGACTTTTATTGAGACTAGGAGTTATATGACAGCTTTCATTACGCTATTCGAAAACTTTATGGTTTCTATATACTTTTGCTACCTCTGGTTTCATTTGATAGATTACATCACACTGATTCTAACAATAATTGGTTTCTAGCTGCTTTTACATTAAATTGGTGCCAAAAAAGCTACTTTTGGATTACACAAGGTCAATTTCAGTTGACCTTTTTCAAAGTCATATGTCGTCCAACCTAATGCAAAATATCGTTTGGCTTTGTCATGTACTAATATGAAGTTGCAGCAAAGGTCAAAATCTGCAACCATAATGTCAAGTTATATGTATCACTCGTAAGTTATTTGTTAAAACATTACTAAATTCTTTCATAGATACGATTATTTGGTTTAGAAGTTTGGCTGCTCCGTATAAAACTTTACAAACGGAACATCAGATCCTAATTTATACTGCACGTGATGATATTTATAAAGCCCTTAAATTTAGATACGACCTATGCTAACTTGCTGATCCTTTGAATAAACGTTTGTAACAAGTTATCAATTTAACAAAGCAATAATATTGTTTTTATCAACATTGATTTTTTTTATCAAGAAATTAAATCATGACGAAATGTGTATTGGAATACATTTATTATACGTACGGTCTCTAGTCCTATCGATGCATTTATTTTCGCATTCCACAAGGTAATGCTTTTCTCATGCTGTTCATCATTTTCTTTACACTAAATCTATTGGAATGGATTGTTATTTTTAGTATTGAAAAAAGGATTTTGTTATTAGTTGTAATTGGCTTTGAACTAACTTTAAGAAACTGTGAGTTCTACTTTGTGTCGTTCGTCTTTTTGTTAGTAGTTTTGTGCGTTGTGTTGATCTGACGAGTCAAGCCCATTTCAACTGATTTGTATAGTTTGTTCCTATGTTGTGCTGTTACACCGACAAACATGTTTAACCCCGCCAGATTCTGTATGTGCTTGTCTCAAGTTAAAAGCCTGTAATTTAGTGGTTGTCGTTGGTTGCTGTCCATCATATTTGTTTTTCATTTTTTTTGTTTCGTACATAAATCGGGTCATTTTTTTCTCGTTTGTATTGCATAGTATTTTGTCATGTCTGGGCATTTTATAGCTTACTACACTGTATGGGCTTTTCTCATTGTTGACGGCAGAAATGTGACCTATATTTGCTTACATCCACGTCATTTGTTTCTGGTGAATAGTTGTCTCATTGAAAGTTATGCAACATCTTTTAATTTCCATAACACCTGGATATTTACCTGCGTTACCGGAGTATCCCGAAGCACTAAAGGTGTATGATTTTCCGGAGCCAACCGAAAATTGTGAATAGTTTGCTTGTCGTTGATTTCCATTCCAATCTTCTAGGTGAACACTAAGTTCGTGTGTTCCATCTTGCGTTATACGATGAATCTTCATATTCCCTAAGAAATAAAAGGAAAAATCATTTCGAAGTTTAGGAGTGTCTACAATGCTTTGTCATCAAATACATCAGGCGAATATTTATACCTTTTTGTATATTGAAAGTCCTCGTTTATAAACCTTCCAATGAAAGGTTGAAATATGGCAACTCTTATACGTTGTGCTGTGTTTTATAAGAGACTAAAACTTAACTGTGAACATGAGGAGCCGTTCAAGATTTTGAAGTCATATATGAGGGCCGATCTATAACATTGGAGCATAGTATAGGCGTGTAAAAAGTCCAGAAAAATGGTGTTCAGCGTCAGCTTTATATGGATTCAGTGTATTTGAAACAAACTTAACGTTAAAACAAACAATAAGCATATCATATACTGGAAGTTTGATCCGTTTGAGAATATTTTCAATGTCGTGGATATCTTAAATTTCCTAAGCTTAAGGGTGCCACATGTGGAGCAGGATCTGCTTACCCTTTCGGAGCACCTGGGATTACCACCGGTTTTTGGTGGGGTTCGTATTGCTCAGTCTTTAGTTTTATATGTTGCGTTTTTGTACAGTTGTTTGTCTTTTGGTCTTTTTTCTTTTTTGCCATGGCGTTTTCAGTTTATTTTCGACTTATGAGTTTGAATGTCCCTTTGGTATCTTTCGCCTCTCTCTTTAAGATCACCAAAATAATAGTATCCTTTTTCACGTCTTCAAGATAATTGATTAAATAAAAAATGCAATTTTCTAAAATAAAGAAGGAATTTTGGATTTATGTAACAATAAAAAATCTAAATGCCATTATGCATAAAAATAAATCAGGAGGTAAATACTAATAACATGTGGCTGATTAGAAAAATATATGTTTGCCTATTTTAAAGGGATATGATAATATTACAATAAAAACATGTTTAGCTACTAAATCTACAAAATGTAAACACAATGAAATATAATTCGTTATATTTCTCATGTCTGTGTACATATGAACATATGAACTGTGAAAAATGTGTTGGTTATATATTTTATAGCAGTTCATTCAAGAATGCATGTCTTTAAGTTTTGTCAATTTGCAGGCTATTTTTGACATTTTAATCAGGTAAGAGTAATGATACAATAACAGTATGATTGACAACTGCCATGATCACCAAACAATCAGAGACAAGGTTGGCCTTAATTACAAATTCCCCCTCCTTAAATGCCAATCATATTGACCAAATTACTAATCAACCTCAGTCTTAAATAATTAAACAGATCCTTCATTAACCATCTCAATACACAAATAGTTGACCTCATTATTGAATACACAAATGTATATACTAGATGATTGATATATAGAAATGATGGATTTATTCATTGCTTATTATTTTTTATCTACACTACATAAAGTGATTCTATAAATTATGTCTGAAAGATAAACGATTAATGACCAGCAAGATCTTGTTTTTTTTCAAAAGAGAAGACAAAATATGAAATCTACATATAAAAAAAGGTTTTCAAATGTTGAATTCAGGAAATGTATTTTGCTATTAAGAATGAATCCCCATTTCAATAAAATACGTCTTTTAATTTGTTTTTGTTCAAAAAGTAATAAATGTGCATTTTCAATGCCTTTTATAATGAAAATATTACATTATAAATTGAATTAAATTAAAAATACACTCTACAACCCTTAATCTTCAGTGTCATATAATCACGATAATTGTTTTCAAAATCAATAAGCAATTCTTAGAGGAGAAAAATAATATACCTATGTTTCAACTTACAAAATGCCCCCATAACAACCTTTTTAGATAAAGTTTTGGAGACTATAAAGATCTTAGTTTTAAGTCTATCTGTCCCATGTTCTACAAGGATAAACTTTATCAGAAGAATCTTTATTTGGGAACTTCTTCTGTTTGTAAAGATAAAACGTAAAAGGTGAAACATGTAATAGGGAACATTATTTGGTTAAGATATGAAATTACAATTTAAACGAAATTATTGTGCATATGAACAAATTAACGGACCCACTATCATTGATTCACATTTAGCTCATTTCATCTACCGAAAAAGTGCTTATCCTTCTGAAGACCTGAAGTTAATGCAATTGTCAGCAATAGTTCTATATTAATGTTCTGTTTTGTCCATCCCCTACTTAGATATGAATTGAAATTATTCAAACTACTCTTCCAATCTTTCCATGAGTGATTTCCATCACTTCGATTTTAAAAGGGACTGGGTATTTTATTTGTTTTTTTTATCAAATTTTAATTGTGGATGTTTTAGCATTTTTATAAAAAATTAAATTGGGGATGTTTTACTGTTTTTATCAAAATTTTAAAAGGGTAATTTTATTTTTTTTTAACAGGGACTGGGTATTTTATTTGTTTCATGAAATTTTAATAAGGGACGTTTTACTGTTTTAATTAAACTTTTAATTTGGGATGTTTTAGTATTTTTATCAAAATTTTAATTGGGGATGTCTTGCTGTTTTTAATCAAAATTTTAAATGGGTTATTTATCAAATTTTGATAAAAACAGGGACTGGGTATCATATTTATATTTATTACATTTTAATTGGTGATGTTTTACAGTTTTTATCAAAATTTTAATTGAGGATATTTTAGTAATTTTAACAAAATTTTAATTGCGGATGCTTTGCTGTTTTTATCAAAGTTTTTAAGGTTCAGTTTATTGTTTTAAGAGGGACTGGGTTTTTTTATCCAATTTTTAATTGGGGATGTTTTACTGTTATTATGAAAAAAATTAAATGGGATATTTTACCCTTTTTTAACAATTTTGATTTGGGATGTTTTAATATTTTTTTCAAAATTTTAATTGGTATATTTTAACAGTTTTATCAAAATTTCGATTGGGATGTTTTAGTATTTTTATCAAAGTTTTAATTGGGGATTGTTTAGTGGTTTTTTGAAAATTTTGATTGGGGATATTTTAGTATTTTTATCAAAATTTAAATTAGGGATAATTTACTAGTTTTATATTTTACATTGTTTTACAAAATTGTAATTGGGGATATTTTATTGTTTTATCAAAATTTTAAATGGGATATTTTACCTTTTTGTTTTTTTTTTGTTTTTTATCTTTTTTCAAAACTTGGCTGTATAAGTCATGCCAAAGTACAAAATCAGAGACTTAAAACTGGTACTCGAAAGGAAGAGGCAAGTGTCTTACTGTGGGCATTTGTCTTGGTCTACTAGCACCTTACAGTCCAGATAACCCTCAGGACAGCTGGCTAGTTCAAGCAGACAGATACTTTTGTACAATTTGGCACTTTCATAACTTTTTTATTTTTGAACTTAAGACTTTTTCTATTTACATTTTTTTTTATTGTTTTAAATTTTCTTTTTACAAATATGCTCAACACCTTTCAGTTAAATACACATTTTGGCTGCATAATGGTTATCCAAGGATAATTTCTTTTCATTAAACTTGTATCATACATTTTGTCTTATTCTTACTTTGGCAGTTACCTTAGATTTTATTAAAAAAAAGAAACTAACCTGAAATGTTTTCAAGTGTGTATTTTTTCAATCTTATATTTTATTCAACAAAAAAGGTGAACCTAAATATCTTGAATGGTAAGTGTCACAAAGTCGGCTTTAAATTTTGTTTAAAAACAAAACTTATGTGCATTTACCTAACCAATGTTCTTTGTCTACTCTACCAAAACCTTGCGTGTATTCAGACAACGCCCTGTAGAAGTTTACGGTGCCATCGTATCGTCTCTGAATAACCTAAAACATAAAGAACAGAGGTATCGGATGGAACGAGGTTTGTATTTAAGATGTGATCTCAGAGAAAACCATGCAAAAGGGTCCAGAAGCAATGTTGTCCAAATTTTTATATAAATTGGACAGTAAGTTGGTGCATGCGTAAGCTTTCAAATGACAAATTATTTTTTCTCAAGATTTTTTATGGCTGTCGCACGGAGTCCATCTTGGAAAAATAAAACTACATGTTACCTTATTCACTAATAAACAAATATACTTTAATCCATATTTTTTTTAGTCGTTGATAGTTTTAGGCATAGTTTTGTTGTTTACATAGTTTAAATTAGGGATGATTTACTAGTTTTATATTTTACATTGTTTTACAAAATTGTAATTGAGGATATTTTATTGTTTTATCAAAATTTTGAATGGGATATTTTACCTTTTTGTTTTTTTTTGTTTTTTTGTATTTTGTTTATAGGATAATGAAATATGCAATTCCTTTTTTAATCCATGTTCAGTGTTATTCGGGTAAACATCAAGTATAGGCATTATATTTGCTGGTGGACTGTTAGTACCCGATGATATCACCGACCCAGTAGCCAGACGTTCGGTATTGTGTAATAAAGTTTGCTGTTACAAAATTATTTTAAATCAAGGAATATGTCTCCCTTATGCAAAGCTCTGGTTCCATGCCCGGCTTTGGCTATTATTTTTATCTATTTAGATGCATAAAATCTTTACAATAGAAAATTAAACTGTTAATGTCATTAGGTCTGGTCAAAAGACTTATAAATAAATAACAAGTATAAATTACTTACAGTCCATTTCTTGCTATTGCGCATGATACAATATACGTAAAATCGTCTTGTGTTTCCTCCAGGATAAACAGGATAAACACCATCAACTGTATGATTTAGATCTTCACATTCAGATGGCCGTTCTAAAAGCAGTACATTCATAAACAGAACATTGGTAAAAAAGGTAAAATAACAATCGCTGGTCGTTATCCAATCAGATACAGCGATGCAAGAATAATTCAAAAGCATTGTGTTTGAGCTGTTGATTTTGCCATTTGATTAGGAACTTTCCGATTTGAATTTTCCTTGGAGTTCGGTATTTTTGTTATTTTACTTTTTTCCATCATAACAAAAACATGCATTTGAAAGGCAATGCTTTTCAATTATTCTTGCATCGCTGTATCTCATTGGAAAACGACCAGCGATAGATGTTTTACTTCACCTGTATGTAATTAAGGGAAGCCGCCATTTTGAATCCTTGAATTTATTGATTTGGGATTTCTTCATATTTCTCATCTTAAAATCATGTCTTTGTTTCATTTGATTAAATTCAGAAGCGTACAAAAGGCACACACATGACTGGTGTTTATGTTTGTTGCCTCAGACGTATATGGGTGCAAAAGACGAGAACAACATTTCGATGTTAGATTAAAGATAATATTTTCACACCGCAACATAATTGAAATGGAATGTTTTTTTTTAATTTTGTGCATTAACATGGAGATACCCGTAGCTAGATTAACGGAGATTTGCTTTAGTATAAGTAAAAGAAAGTTTTACGAAGTCCAAGCTTTAAACCGATAAACATGAAGATCATAAACGGCATTTTCTGAAAATTAAATATATTAACAGAGGTATTGATTTCATCAACTTATCGAGTATATTTAATGACTCTACCATTCAAACTTTATACCTCCTTTTTTAATAACACAGAACCACCTATTATTTCGTATACATACAAAAAAAAACCAGCAGAAGTTTGATTTTTAATTATACGTCAGTAACATCAGATGTCAGTGTAGAAAATAATACTCCTCTAACTGTGAATCGTCGAATTTTAGATATGAACCCTATGGCCATGTTATTACGGGGGACCTTAATATCGTTCAAGACCAAAAGGTTAAAAAACTTTTTTTAAAAAGGACCAAAATATCGTACTCTATCTAAAATAGATTGGACACGGTGTCGTCAGGTCACAAAAGACGCTCTTCCATCGTATTGTAAAAATATTGTAGAAATTGGTGTAAACGGGAAAAATCTGATAAAAAAATCTCTTGATTCTTATTTAAATAAATGTATGAATGTTGTGAATATTCGATTATCACATTTTGAAATTTTAGAAATAAATAAAAGAGTACATAATACGCCTATTTCTAGGATATGAAAAACTTCAAGTACTTGCAAAGCGGTTTGTGTTTGAACCGACCGACAAAGCATCTAACAATGTGGTGGTAGTATGCCGTAAAAACTACACGGACGTTCTTAAGAAAGAAAATTTAAATTCTTCTACATTCAAGTCCGTGCGCTCAACAGCTTAAGGCCTCTTCTGCACATTTGAAGGTCCCTGCTATGTATTGGTTTTCTAAACCACACAAAAAACCAGCGAATCGTTTCATCTCGGCCTCTAGTAAGTGTTCTACAACTAATATTTCAGTGCTTTTAACTAGTTCCTTAACTACTATCAAAGAACTTATCATTAACTTTTGTAATAAAACATATGAAAATAGTGGAATTAACTACTTTTGGAGTGTAAAAAATTCTTTGGATGTTTTAGATAAACTACGTGCCTTTGATTGTCCTTTTGATTCTGTTGACAGTTTGACTTGTCAACTCTTTACACTACACTTCCACACAATCATATCAAACAAACATTTTCTTATTTAATTAAATGGTCGTTTGGTTAATCTGAATGCAAATATATTTGCTGCAACTCATTTAAAGCCTTCTTCTCTAATGAGAAAGGTATATATGCTAGATATACTTAATGGAGGTGTGATGAGATGATAGAAGCTGTTAATTTTCTCCTTGATAATATTTATGTACGTTTCGGCAATAAAGTTTACCGACAGGTTGTAGGTATTCCTATGGGTACCGATTGCGCCCCTTAAATAGCAGACTTGTTGTTGTACGGTTATATTCTTTTGTTAAATAATCAAAAATTGTCTAAATATACTACCGAAATTACTTTAAATGAATCAAATATAAACGGTAATAACTGTCCTTTCCTAGATTAAGATACTTCAGTTTTACATGGGAAACTCTACACTAAAATTTACGATAAAAGAGACGATTTTTCATTCCCTATTGTTAATTTTCCTTTTTTTGGACGGTGATATTCCTTTGCACCATCTTACGGTGTTTATATATCACAACTCGTTCGCTATGCCCGTGTCTGTTGTGACGTTTTGGATTTCAATGAACGTAATCTATGTATTACTGGTAAATTATTAAGTCAGTGATTTTGTAACCACAAATTACTTACAACCATTTGGTTTTGAAGTTTGGTTGTACCTGTAGAAAACTTATTTTTAACGGGATAGCACATCCTAATTTTTAAGGAGATGTTGTTTACCGAGCCCGGAAATTTAGATACGATCCGGGTAAACTTATCGATCATTTAAATAAACTTATTCTAAAAGGTTACCAATTCAGCACTATAATTAGATCTTTAAATATTGTTTTATTGGTATAAATATTGATTTTGTTATCAGTAAATTAAAATCAAACTAAATATTATGTTTATATACATATGCACATTCATGTCTCTACACTCCGTCTATCATTTCGTCATTCCATCCATCCGCCGGAACGACCTTTGGTAGAAACCTTAGGTCAAAGTTGTCTTGGCTTCCATGAAAGGGAATGACTTTATATATATTGTACCGTGTAACAAATTTTTACATCTGCCGTGCATCCATTCCCTTTTTGAAATAATTTGAAATTTGACAGCACTCATTAAACAAAGAAAATTTTCGTCAAACTTTTCTTGGCTTCCATGGAAAGGAATGATTTTGAAATTAGTCTCCAGCTTGAGCAATTACTACATCTGTCGTGAAGCAACTTCCAATTTGCCTACAGTTTGATATTTTCCAACACTGATTGTACAAGGAAAATTTTCGTCAAAATTTTCTATATCGAAAAAATCGATTTTATTAAACGAAAAATTGGATCAAATCTTATTTTGGGCGGTGATTTTGATACGATACTATTCCTTCTTTAGACAAAATGGGAGGTTCAAAATATGATACATATATCAAGTATACGAGAAAATTAGAAGATTTTATAGAAGAATTTGAGTTTTGTGATATTTGAAGGGCAAACATTGTTGATTTTAAATCATACACTTGGCGTCAAAGAAACCCTTTTATACAATGCCGCGTAGATTTTTGGTTGATCTCAAATTTCTTGTCAAGCAGTGTAAACAAAACATCCATTGTCCAATCTTTAAAAACTTATCATAGTCTTATTCAATTGACACTGTCTGGCGAAAACGTTAGTGAGAGAGGTCCCGGTTTCTGAAAATTCAACTCAGGTTTACTGACAGATAAGGATTATGTGGAAATAGTTAAAGATGTTTTATCAGAATGTGATGATAGATATCACAATTTAGAAACAAAAATGAAATGGGATACCATAGAAAGTGAAATAAGAAGCGCAACCATCAAATATTTCAAGTACAAAACATGAAATTGCGGGTAAGAGAGTCCAATTTAAATAAACGACAAGACGAAATTCAGAAAATTCTCTCTCGTACAGATTTATATAAAGATATTAATACACTTTTGATTGAATAAGATATTGTTAAAGAGGATTTAGAGCAAATAGTAAACAATCTAACAAGAGGACCTATTATACGAACACATGCCGAACACTGCGAAGGCAATGACAAAAAAATAAAAATATTTCTTGTCGTTAGAAAAACGCAATTATAAAAATAAATTTATCAACAAATTGAATCATTTAAATTACGTCACACGAAAATTACTAGACGAAGAGAGAAGTTTCTATGAAAAACTTAATAGTCAAAAGAAGACCCTAATAAATATTCGGGTGATTCTAACTTTTTAAATTTTGATTTTATTCCTAAGCTTACAGATGTTGATAAAAATATATGCTAGTCAGATATTCAGAATCTGAGTGCGTTAAAGTTTTGAAAATAATAAAAGCAATGGTACAGACGGGCTAACTGCTGAGTTTAACAATTTTTTCTAGATTGACATAAAAAAATATGTTTTAGAAATCTATGAATATTCCTTCGAGACCGGCACCCTCTCAATAAACCAAAGACGGGGTATTCTGACTTTTATCCCAAAGAAAGACAAAGACAGAACCGTCTTGTCGAACTGGCTCCCCTTTCTCTTTTAAATTTTCATTACAAATTATTACCCAAAGTTATTGCGGAAAGAATGAAAAAAATTCTTCCAAAATTTATAGATCCGGATCAAATAGGATATGTGGCTGGTAGATACATTAGTGAAAATCTACGACTAATTGCTGATATTATATTGTTCACTACATTAAAGAATTATCCAGGTCTTATATTACTAGTTGATTTTGAAAAAGCGTTTGATACGCTAGAATGCAAATTTATTCAAAAAGCATTGGTTTGTTTTAATTTTGTCTTCAAGTTCAGGAAATGGATCTTAACTTTGTACTCAAATATATCTAGTCTTGTAGTAATTAATGGATTTAGTTCTAGCTAATCTATCTAAAACTGCTAATTGGGGACACTGAAATAAAAATTTCACAGTTGGCTGATGATACCAATTGTTTTCTGAAAGATGTATTTTCTGCGCAAGTTTTATGGAATTCCTTTACCGATTTTGAGAAGTGTTGTGGGCTAAAAGTGATTTTTTTATTAAACCGATGCAACATGGATTGGAAGAAATAGATCTATATATTAAAAAAGATGGTCCCCTTCCCAATAAATGGAGAGATGGCTTTAAACCCCAAGGTTTGAAATTTAATGATAGCGAAGAAACGGTTAGTTCTAATTTAGATACATGCACAGAAAAATTGGAATCAGTTATTAAAATGTGGAAGATCAGAAACCTTTACTTGATCGGTAAAATTGTAATTTTCAAATCACTTGCAATATCTAAACTAATTTATGTCATTTCAGCTACTCATGTACCAAAATCTTATGTACCTTTAAAACGTGATATTAACATTTTTTTATGGAATGGTGGTTCTCCGAAAGTTAAATAGGAAGCTATTCAAAAGCCTCCTAGAGAAGGGGGACTGAAAGCCACAAATTTCGAATGCTGTTATCCCTTCGTATTATGTAGGTGAAACAGAACACGACTCCAAATGGAAACATGTATCCAAAGCATTCTTCCCTCTGTTTGATTTACAGGATTTATTTATGAGCATATGTGAATTTGAGTATTAAATTTAAAAGCACCTTCTTTTTATAAAGAAGTGTTATCTGCTTGGAAACATTTCAAGTGCATTTTTAAACCGTTAGATGCATTTCAGGTGAGAAAAGAATTTATTTGGTTTAAGCCTTTTATCAAAAATGACAATACGAGTATTTTTACAGATCTTGGTACATGAAAGGCATAAGGTTTATCAATGATATTGTAGATGACAATGGCAAATGTTTGTCTCATGACGCTATTAATCAAAAATATAACCTAAATTTTACTTGTGTAGACATTGTATCTATTAAACTTGCTATACCACGTGACTGGAAAGATTTGTTAATAAAGCAACACATTTGGATTTGTTTTTGAGCATGAGAATAAAAAAGAAGCCGATCAGTATTATTGGCAAATGATGTTTATTCACTTTTTATAGATCAGAGAAATGTTTCTCCTATTTCACAACAAAGGTGGGAAGACAGTTTTGATTTAGAAATTAGTGATGAAAAATGGAAAAATAACTCTTGTACGTTTTTTTTTAAAGTTCATCGTATTACTACAACATATAAAATTCATGACTCAATATTTGGAGAATGAAAATACAAAGTTTGTTATTCTAATGAAAACATACTTATAATAGAAGAAAAAAAAGACAAAAAAGACAGACAAAAAATGACATGGCAAAATAAAAAGACGAAAAGAAAAACAACGGACCACAAAAAACATCACAGACCACTACATAACTGAGCAACACGAACCTAAACTAAAACTGGCGAAACATGTGCTCTGGAAGGATAAGCAGTTCAAAACGGACGTTGTACGTACGGTTTTGGATTTTCCCAAGTCAATTAGTGACACCAGTAGTGAAATTTCAGTTTAAATCCGTTAGAGTCATAACCCGTTATAATAAAGCATAAACTTGCAGATTGGTACATCTTCCTCGCTATATCTATACATAAGACATAACCATAATAAAACATCGGAACATGTTAAGTCTCCTACTCTATATGTTAACAATTTGAAATAAAACCATTTTCTTATGACAAAGACATTGAATATCACAAAAGGTAAAACAGAAAACTAAAGCAAAACTAAAACGTCTCCCCTCAAATAAAATCTAGGCGTGAACTAAGGTTCTCTGGAAGGTTATAAATATCCTGTTCCACTAGTGGAACCCGCAATGTTGCTCATGTTATGCAAAATTCAGTAACCAACAGGGAGAAATATTCATGGGAAGAAGAGCCCTTTTCATCCATCAGAAGCAATCGCCAGTAATGAAAGATTTTCTTAAAAGTGACCAGTGGTATATTTGGACATTCGTGTTACTCAGTCTTTAGTTTTCTGCGTAGTGATTATTAGACTGTTGCCTGTCTTTCCATCGTTTTGTTTTGTTATGGTAGTGTCTGGGTTTTTTTTTCCTTCTTATGATTTTTGATTATCTCGTTTGTATCTGCAGATTCTTTTTTGCAGTTCTTTAGAAATTTGCAATTAAAAGCATGAACATGAAAATTTGTATAGAGTAGGAGACTTAACATGTTCCGATGTTTTATTTTGGTTATGTCTTATGGATAGATATAGCGAGGAAGATTTACCAATCTGCAAGTTTATGCTTCATTATAACGGGTTATGACTCTACAAACGATTTAAACTGAAACTACACTACTGGTGTCACTAATTGACTTGGGAAAATCCCAAAACCGTACGTACAACGTCCGTTTTGAACTGCTTATCCTTCCAGAGCACATGTTTCGCCAGTTTTAGTTTAGGTTCGTGTTGCTCAGTTATGTAGTGGTCTGTGATGTTTTTTGTGGTCCGTTGTTTTTCTTTTCGTCTCTTTTGTTTGCCTTGTCATCTTTTGTCTGTTTTTTTTTTGTCTTTTTTTTTGTCTTCTATTATAAGTTTGTTTTGATTAGAAAAACAAACTTTGTATTTTCATTCTCCAAATATTGAGTCATGAATTTTATATGGTGTAGTAATACGATGAACTTTAAAAAAAAAACGTACAATAGTTACTTATATAAAATCCAGAATCGACCAATCACAAACGTTGTTGCAAATTTGACCTTGTGACGTCAAACAATTTCCCATAATGCAATGATTGCATATAAATTAAAAAAACTACTAAACATTGCAAATTAAAGTAAAAACGACAAATATACCAATTGAATAAAAAATATTGCATTAAAATGACAAGTTATACCAATTGAATAAAAAATATTGCATTTGAATGACAAATTATACCATTTGAATAAAAAATATTGCATTTAAATGAAAAAATATACCATTAAATAAAAAAATATTGCATTTAAATGAAGAAATATACCAATTAAATAAAAAATATTGCATTTAAATGAAAAATATCAAATTTTTGCAAACAATACCATGACATATTCGAAGCACTTTTCTGGATTTATCTTTTCAGGAACGGTCAACATCATGAACTTACATTAGACTTTAGCGCATACAAACATGTTTAACCCCTCTCCTTCTATATGTGGTACATTTAGTTGTCTAAAATCGGGAGTCTGCAATTCGTTGGTTGCTGTCTGTTATATTTGTTTGTGGTTAATTTATCATTTTGTCATAAATCAGGCTTTTGGTTTTTGTCGTTTGAACTGTTTCATATTTTGTCATGTTAATAGCTGACTATAAGGTATAATTAAAAATTATTTGCTCATTGTTGAAGACCGAACGTTGATTCATTTATTGTTGTTTAAATCTACGTCATTTGGACTATGTTGTCTTAATGACAATCATTCCACATCTCCTTATTCTATGTTAGTTTGAACTTTACGGAAAAGACATCTAAGAATAACATCATAAATGCTGCTAATCTTCTGTAAAACGTATTATTTGTTTTAAGATTACTCTTTGTAACACTAAGATCCTGTACTTGATCAAATGAATAAACTAAATATTAGTCTTACTTATGCAAGCGATTCCATCCCAGTAGGCCTTATCTAGATTGCATACACAAATACCATTTGAACATTTTAAGTTGTCTATGCAATCTGTCGATAAAATGCATGCGGCATCTTTATTTTTCTCTACAAAAATATAAACATTTGAATATTAATATATTAAGGATAGGTTTAACAAACCAATCAAATGAACGATAACATATTTGTTTATTTCTTGATAACCTGTCAAAACTGTGAAAGTTTCTCATATACTGTAGCATTATAATCCATGTGATCATTTTCGTTTATTTCGCGGGAAAAGTTCAACCTATATCTAAGCTTTCGTCATAGGCAAACTATTTCCTGTAGGCTTGAATGCATAATTTGTTACAGAACAAATTATTCGCGATTATACACATTTTCTTCATCCCAGAAATTAGTGCCAACGAAAAAAAATGATAGTAACTATGACTTGAATACACATGACCCAAAATTTACGTGTTTCTCCTTTCCTTATATCTTTGTTGCATCTTATGCTTATTAATAGCACCAAGAAATAATAAAGAAAACAAATACACTGTCAAAACGCTATTTAAAATCAAACGGAATAGGACAAATAAAGCTTGATGTGAAATGTGAACAAATAGTTAAAAAAAACAATTCTTACTGCAAATACTGTTTACTGCCATACAATCTATTGGCAACATAAGATTTACCCAGAAGCAGGCGTCATCCGTTTTGTATTAATCATGTCAGCAGGGTATGCCTGAATATAGCTTTATAGCATTTTAAATAATCTATGAGTTTGTTCTAGCTAATGGGATTTAAGTTGCCGAGAGGTCTACGAAGTTTATTTAAAGCAATCACTAGCGTGTAAAAACTGAGGTTGTGAGTTCAAACCCCGTATGGGGCAGGTGCGTTCGGGTCTTATTCGACTACGATTGCCAGTTTTTCTGCCGAAAGTCAGGGTTTCTCTCAGGGCACTTCACCATATAATCTGCCTATAGAAACTGACCGCCACGATGTAACCAGTAGTGCTGAAAAGGGCGATAAACACCAACAATCAATCAATCTATTAGCTAACACACAGAACACTTGTTCTGTCACAAATTCTCATATTGTGATAAAACCTGTAACCATTTCATAGCACGTACCATAAAAAAATTAATATGATTATCTATCAAGAATTATTATGTGTATTTATATTTATTGGAAATATAAGTATTGAATGACGATTTTTATTTCACGTTTTGAGTAATACAAAAGCAAGGGGCGTTGAATATTAATATAAAGCGCTTCCGCTACATTCGGTTCTTGAAAGATCGGCATGTCCAGCAGCATGTTTCACACCAAGAAAATTTCAAAGACCAACAATAATTTCAGGAGGTCGGTAGTTGAAACGAAGTATTTATTACAAAAATATGTCCCAGTCGAGAACTAAAACACTTTAATGATCGGTCAACCCTAAAAACTCAGATTGTATGTTATTGTTCAAGAATGGAGAGTTGGACATCACAATATCAGCAGTATTTGCTTTTGTTTTCCTGATACATACACTGTTTTACGACCACAGGGTTTTCCCGAGGATAGCAACATCCTAGTAGTAACCATTTGTGTTGACATGACCTATCATTAATATGTTAATTTTTCTGTTTATGAAACGTTGAGTTATACAAAGCCCTAAGGTTTAAATCATAAAATCAGCAAAAGTTGCTTTTGTTTTCCAGATACATACACTGTTTTTACGACCACAGGGTCGATGCCACTGCTGGTGGACGTATTGTCCCCGACGGTTACAACAGCCTAGTAGTCAGCACTTGCGTTGATATGAATTATGTTTGATATGTTTATTTTTCTGTTAATTTACTGTTCATAATATTGAATTATTCAAAAGACTAAGATTTTGCTATCCCCAGGCATAGAATGCCTTAGCCGGAATTATCGTTTTTTAATGGTCTTGAACTTTCGTTTATTTCGCGGGTAAAGTTCAACCTATATTTAAGTTTTTGTCATAGGCAAACTATACTCTGTAGGCTTGAATGCATTTCATTTTGCCTTTGTTTTGATTGGAGCATAACAGATGGGTATTATGTAGATGAAACGCGCGTGTGGTTTACCAAATTATAAGCCTGGTATCTTTGATGAGTTTTTACTTAGATGTACGCTTGGCAGGATACTCATAATCCTGTCGACGTCCCTTTTTGAGGTAATACGATTCCCTAAGTAGTGTTTGGTACCTCGATTTTAGCACCAGTAAACTACAGTTGCCTTAATTTACATACGGATATGCTTTCTCTGTAACAAATAATAAGTTTCAACTATCGTCCTCCAAAATTCAGGTGAAATATTTATATTGCTACTCAAAATATAAAAGTATAAGTCAAGCATTTTTAGCTTTGTAAACATTTTTCTGACAAAATGCGTTTGGTGTTTTTTGTTCGGTTAATAATTGCTCCAACATAGTTATGACGAAAAACGACTGATATCGACACTACATATGTTTTACGACCACCATCACGAATTGGTTGACCGGTACGATGTGTCGGTGTCTAAACACACTAGAGTAATAGATACCGGTATAGTCGTCTGATCTGTTTAATCAATTGTGACCTATTCCAGAATGTAGTTTAGTAATGCTTTGCATGTATTTCAATATGACTGTGCTGTATCTATGCATTGAAATAATTGCTGCTTATATATCTTATCTGCATGTTCTGTGCTTTAATGTTATGTATATGTTATTTATATTCGACAAAAAGCTCTTAAGAGCTAATGTTTGTACTGTTATATGTGAATCGAATCAAAATGAAACTTTTGTATTCGTATTCGTATTCATGACATGTTGACTGGGGTGAATTCGCATGGCGGGTGGAGCAGGCATAGCAGGAGACGCTTACCCTATCGACGAACTTGGTCTCGATGCCTCAGTTTATGTTTGTTACCTTGCTTTGCGTCTTCCTAACTTATTTACGAGATTTGAACATCGGTAAACTACCGTCGCCTCAATTTAGGACCCAGTCTGAAGCCTCAGGGGGGCAGGAGGCCTTGTTTTGGATGGATTATTTATTTTTGTGGACCAAAAGGACAGATTATTTATTTTCTGCACTGTTGAAGCATGATTTTTTCATTTTCATTAAAACAAGGGACTGATTATCTATTTTCACAATTATATTTATAATATTTGAAAACATACAATTTTCAAATTCATAAATAAATAGAATTAATCATCATCCTCTGGAAGTTAATCTCCTGAATTGCAAACTGCATATATTGCATACGTACAAGGTATTAAAGCTGGGCTGTAACTAGCCTCTTTTAAAAGTTGTTAAACTGTTGTTTCAGTGATATTCTGTATTGCTACCTCGGTTGATAGTAAATTGAAATTCTTGTTTATCTGTTTTCAAAATTTATCCAATTTGCGGAACTTAAAAATGAAAAGCAACATGTTGCATTGTATGAACTAAAATAAAGCATTGCAGTTTTGGTAAACAATGATTCTTTTTTGTGGGTTACAAAGTTACGAAATTAAAGTTATGATAATATATAGAAAGCAGGTTGTCAGTATAGTGGTAAAATCTGTAAATCAAGAGCATCAGATACGAAAATGCATAAAATCTAGAATTGAAATACAAGCATAAAATGTAATTACTTTGTACACAAACATTCCCTTTCCAATACTTTGACTTTTCACATTGGCATTTCTCGTCAAAACATGTTAACGTGTCTTTGCATTGAGCTGTAGCATTACATGGAGATTTGTAATCTTTTCCTTAAGAAAGAAAATAAAATTATTTACTCTGTATAATATGTTATCCATTTTCTCAAAAACATACCCCACGGTATAGAAATATGGTAAATTAGGTCTTCTTCCGACAGGGAGAATAATACTTGATAAAGTAGGTCATCCGTTTTGCTGTGACGGATGTATATATTCGCAGCTACGTCCGGTCAGAATGTCGATGTTAAATTCGATGCCTCGTGTAGTGAAGATACAGGAGTAAAATAGGTACGAAAAAAGTAAATCATATTTAAATGATTTTTTCAAGTACAGATAAACAACTTCATGTCAAAAACTTTACATTCCAGTGAGGAATTTGGATTTTTATAGAGGGACATTATTTATTTGTACATTTTTCAAAAAAAAAAATACTCCTCTATTTTAACATATTTATGATCAAAGAAAACGTCTTGATATTTCAGTGAAATAATTTCTTCGAGGACTTATATAATATACAAAGGGTATATTACTACAAGAAAGACAGACAACACGATGCCAATAAACCACACGATAAAATAAAAAAAAAAAACTGAAGTCGGAGGGATGAGCCGTACCTGGCACCAATCGTGTTGCTCGTGTCATGTAAAATGTCCTATGGTCCCACTTGTTTTTGTGCTTATATGAAGCAGAAATCATACAGAACATGCACAAGACAAAAAGAAAAATCATCTTGTCAAGTTCTTAATTTCATTTTAAGATATTGCTGATGATGTCTGGAAGCTCAATAACCAATACTTCAGCGAGTGCTTGCATCTCATATATCCCAGTAAACTTGATTCAGTGGTTGTAGCTTGTTGCTGTATATATTGTTTTTTGTTTGTTTTTTTTTGTTTTGTACATTTATCATGTCGTTGGTTTTCTTGTTTTACATCTTTTATGTTTGAGCCTTTTATAGCTTGCTATGCGGTATGGTTTTTACTCATTGTTAAAGGCCTTATGATGCCCTATAGTTGCTTATCTGTACGTCATTTGGTATTTTGTAGAAAGTTGTCCTTTTGGTGATCATACCACATTTTCTTTTTATATTGAGATTACTATACTTGTCTCAATTAATACTGTACGCTTTCATATAATATGGACTTCGTTTACAGTGGTGTGTTCCTGACACAAAAAGGCACCAACAGAGTTATGAAGTTATGATGACGAAAACTAAAATCGATACAACATAAGTTTTACGGGTACTATAATAAATTGGTTAACCGATACGATATATCTGTGTCTTAAACCCCTAACGGAAAAGTTTTTGTGATCATAGATCTTTATCGATTGTGTACTATCTCCTATTGTGACATTTCGATGCATGCATAGTAGGAGACTTTTCATTTGTGGACATCCCATCTCGATCCTTCGGAGTTCATGCGATTTCCCAATTTATTTTTTACCTTGATTTATATTTTCTTTGTGGATTTAATAGATTTATATATCGGGGAACTACTGTTGGCTCTTGTTTATACGGAAAAGGAACAAGTCGATGAGAAGAGTAGCACAGTATGTCCCGAAATCTCTAACACGCCTACCAAACGTAAAAATATATGTTGTTAAGCACAAAACATCTGTATGATGTTAGTTTTAGAGATCTATTTGTTAGAATCAGAGAATTGTTTTTCATAACCAATGATTTGTCAAGTAATAGTAAATATGTCATGTCAAAAAACTTTATGAAATTGAGCATGCAACTTTGGCATGTTAAACTGGAACTAAAGATCGAAAACAATAATGCATTTATATCTATCATGTTTTGAAATATAATCTCTTAAACTACATTATTTGTACATTTTGATAGAATGAATGGAAAAAAGTTCTTTAATTATAAAAAAAATCCAAAGATTTTTCTTGAAATTGATATTTTGTATATAGATTTATTTCCGTGGGATTGATATAAAATAACCATAGGGACACCGACGTCGTTTATGATATATTAACGAATCGTTACTGATCGGAGATGGTTGATACTCATTTGAATATTCAATCATTTAAAATATCAAGTATTTGTCGACAAAAGTCTTTATGTCCCATGTATTGTAGATTATTTTAAAAGTTTATTTGATAAATTATATGATCTGAGAGTTTCTTGTAGAAAAACAAGTCTCATATAAGTGGATTTTGTTCTTTAGTTCATAATATACAAGTTTTCTGAACATCAACTATGCAAGTAGCCTAACAAACACAAATTGGATTTAAAACTGATAACATACGTCGAAAACACTTATCTTCATCCAGATATTCTAACATCTGACAATTGCAAAACTCGTTTAAGCAACGAAAGTCGTATTGGCATTCATTCTGGGATTTGCATGGCGTTCCTGCTGTTTTCCCTGATAAGACAAATGTTAAATTACTTTTAAATTTGCTTCATATATGAATACTTAAAAAAATTGGTTCCGTCTACTTTTCCTAAAAATAAAAAATCAAAGTACAAAATTCTGCTTTGAAATTTTATCGAATTCTTAAAGCTGAGATTTAAACGGATTGAGCAAATACTTAATACATTAATCTTACCTACTGAATGTTATGGGCTGGTTTGTAGACCCCAATCTGCTGATGCTCATTTGACTATATACGGAATTTGTTATGATATCCCGTTGTTTGTGTGTCTCTTCTAAGATCATTTATTAGATGTGTACAGTCAATTTATTTAGAATGACCCTTGTCCTTCCTTTAAGGCCGTAATGTGATTTTGTTATGGTTGCTTTGTCTCCTTTGTTTTTTTTTGTCTCGTGTAACGTTTATTTAACAGCAATTTTAATCCTAAAATATTCAGCAAATTCTGTTCATTGGTTTACTATTCCACTGAGCGAATGAAATTCTTGGACAATTAAAAGTTGATATATATTTAACATACATACTATTTACACAGTAGACGCCGTCCCAGTAGTCTGTGTCATGACACTGACAGGAATTTTCTCTGCAATCTAGTGTTTCCTTACACTGAAGACGATTTTCACATGAGAAGTTCATTTCTCTCCCTATAAATTTTTCATTTTCTTATTATAAAATTGTAATATTTATATGACAGTTTCTAGCATTGACAACATTAAACCGCACTACAATCAAAAATGCAAGAAAAAAAATGAAAAATAAGAAAAAAAAATATAAAAAACAAGAAAAAAAATTAATATGCGAAATTTTGGGAATTTTCTAATGATAGTCCATTTGCCAATTACCTATTTGATTCTGTGATTACACACTTTTTAAAACAAATTGCTTCCTTTTGTCAATCGTAGACTGGTTCTTTATCGGACAAAATGCTGCCCACGTAAAGCATTATAGGTTTGAAAGTGTTTTATCGAAGTTTCAACAAATTTTTAGTGGTAAGTATTTAGCTTAACAAAAAATAAAAGATTTGAAAAACTAAAAGGTTACACACATTACGCACAAATAAATTTGCTCTTTTCGCTAGCTCTCCATTGTCATATTCATGTCCCTTTTAAGGAAGACAACTAAAAAACCGATATCTAATTACAAGGTCAAATTCAAGAAGACAAATTGACTATTGAAGATAGACAATGAAATTTTTATAGAATGCTGTTGTGGTTAGCATTAAATTTGATAATATAAACTCTTTATTTTGGCATAGAATTTAAATAAACTATTTCGGAAATAGCGTTCATCTTTGTTTCAAGGATGGTTTCCCCATATCCTTTGTTTTTTTCAGTACTTAGTAGTCATTACAGCTATATTTCAAAGGCAATAGTATGTTCACGTTAGTAGGATTAGCTTAATGCAATAGTCGGTACAGCTGTAGATAATTATAAGTAGTAATTCATCACGAGTAGGTGGAGTTTGAGATAATTGTCTGCATCATTAAAGCGTTTTTGAAAGACGTATGTCCAGTACACTCCAAAATAAACATTCCACCATTGTCGCCTGCCTCAGCAAATAAGTCGTTTGAAGTCTTTATAGGTATTACGAATACGAATAGTTTTCGATTTCAAATTATCGTCCAAATAATTGATATTTTAAGATTTTTTTGTTTTTGTTTTTGTTTAATACTGACTGTCAAAATTAATATAATAATATTAATATTGTGTTTCACATTGACTTAGTGAAATAGTAGCCTCGGTTGACGATAATGGTTAAATGTTCACTTCAATTTGGTTGAATTGTCCCTTGTATAAAAAAGTAAAATCACAAAAATACTGAACTCCGAGGAAAATTCAGAAAGCAAAGTCCCCAATCAAATGGCAAAATCAAAAGTGCAAACACATCAAACGAATGGATAACAAAAAAATAAAAGATATTTGAAAGATTCAGACAATAATTGCATTTATTTCGGTATACTCATATGACATACTATTGACTATTAACAACAGCTGTATTGACTATTTCTATAAGCTCCACATACTCACGTGAACGTAATTTTAACTTTTAGGCAATGAAATAGTATAAACAAAAATACCAAACTCCAAGGTAAATAAAAGATGTTTGCACCTTTGTTTCAAAATAACATTTTTTTTATAAAAGACTTATCAATTGATAATATATAAATAACGGAACTTAAAAAGCAACAAAAAAGATTACATAAGAAAGGTCAGTGTCCTTGTTTTTGAATATAAGCAATCAAAAATTTTGCGGCAAATGACTTTCTCGAATTCATACATTTACATAACATTGGCACCTTTTTTCTTTAAATTAAAAAACAATGAAAAAGTCACAACGATTTTAGAAGATTTTCAAAAATGGCTTTATAAACTTTGTGTAATAAAATTATGAAAAGAAAAGTGAGAAAAGGGGCAACATTTTAACGGCACTACATAGATTAAACTAAAAATTCCAAATATCTGACAAAAAGTCATAAACAAGAGTAGTAAAAATCCTTTAAAAAAGAGAGACCATAAAACCTGACAATACTAAATGCTCGACTATATTAACCTACTGAAAGAATGGAAAACAACTGTCATATTTCTGACTTGGTGCAAGCAATTTCCTAAGAAAATGGTGGGTTAAACCTGGTTGTATAGCTAGCTTAACCCTCACTTCTATGAAACTTGTTTACAATTTCTTGATTATGAAAGAATATTCTTACAGAATTCATAATAATTAATGATAACGGTAACACGTAGATATGAAACTTGACACAAATTGTCAATGAAAAATAATTGATTACATTTCGAAAAGATCATGTTACAAGTTATTATGCATAGCATATTTTGAAACAAACAGTGACGCTCGAATCGAAATCGTTAAAAGGGTCAAATAAAGTACGAAGCTGAAAAGCATTGAGGACCCAAAATTTCCAAATGTTTGCCAAATACAGCTAAGGTAATCTATTCCTAGAGTAGAAAAAAATCACTGTGATAACCCCAGGAAATAAATATGGACAGAAAATTACGCAAATGCTAAAATTGATTAAGACCCAGAGCTTACTCAGTTTACATATCGTGCCATTCCAATAATCCGACGATATACACTGGCATATGTGACGATGGCATACTAATGTAGACAGACATTCTTCTGTAGTACTACACAGTTCGTTTGACTGCTTTCCTAAGAATAAAAAAATATATATTACATTGTAGTTATAACTGTTGATGCTGTCATAAACATACCAATACGATACGGTATTTCTCCTCCGATTTAAAATTTATAATGGAAATGTGCCGATAAGGCAAGTCAATATGTACGATACTAATTATGCAGAAAAATTTAATGAGAAGATGTAGTCGATCTTTGAACTGATTATAAGGGGTAGTAATGTAGAATTTTTAACAATTTAAAAGTTTTAATATTATCACAAAGTTGTTATAATTGATTTTTGAAGATTTTAAGAATCCACATCCGATCCAACGGCTTCTAAATCAAACTTGAAAAATGATTTTTGTCCCCTTTAATTCCTGATGAAATTTTAATCTGTATACCTAAGTAACCGAAAAAGAGAATAAGTTTTCTTCTCGTTAATGGTAATGATTCTTTGACTCCTTTTCATAAAGTCATACATTTCTCAGTGTATTTGATGTCAGCTTATTTTCATTGATATTGTTGCTTTCAACGAACGTTAATGTTTTCATAACTGAAAAACTTTACGATAGGGATAAAGATACCAGAAATAAAACTAGTCAAACGTGCACTTAAGATGCTTATTATAGAGCTGTTGTTTTGCACTTTTAAATAACAAATCACTACATGCATCGGTAAGATTCTGATGCCCCGCATAGAAACGACTTCAAAATAGAATCTATGACAACCGTGATGGTTTCAACTTTCAAATTGTCAACTTCCTATCCCCCAGCAGTAACATAACCTGTCCCATCGTATGCCGTTTACGCTTGTGCGTGCTCAAAATTTTCGGACTTTTATAACAGGGATGGGCCCTTACCAAAAAGTGCTTCAACAGATTTATGAGGCAGAACGAACGGCTGAAATCAACACTAAATAAGTTTTACAGTCACCGTCCCCATAACGTTGACCGATACGATATATCTGTGTCTAAAATAATTAACGACATGTTTTTGCAGTCTTAGATCTAACGATCTAGAAGAGTCCTCCTAACTGTCATTGTACCGACTGTGCCCTATTCCCGAATGTGAAATTTTGACTGACTGTGGATACTTTTAGCGGGTGATGCGTGCATAGCAGAAGACGAAATTTGAACATTGGTTAACTACTGTTACTTACTTGAGATATTGCATATTGTTTAAGCATATAGATACTACGCACTGGCATGATGCATATCTGATACATGTTGCATACTGATCTTCTTGGGAAGAACACTTGTCTGATACATGTTGCACCGTGATTGCGTGGTGACATTGTGCACCAAATTTATCTTTGACAGTATTTTTTATAATAACAATTACTTGTATCTGTGTTTTAATTGCCTTAAAGGTGACTGAGTGAGTTGTTAACCTTTTTTTGTAAGTTCTTTGCTTATTTTGATAATCAAGTGATCGAGATTCAAAGTGGGAGGGTTAGTGCCAAATTACTTGTAATAAGTTTTACCCTGACACATGTTGAGTAAATGAATTGCCATTGCATAAGCAACAACATTGATATAGCAAAATAACAAAGTGTATACACAAATATATAAGGAATTAGGTGTTAAGTACAGACATATGACAGTCTCTATTAAATTCATTAACGAATTTCATATTTAAAAGTCTGCCATCATGACGTGCTATTTTATTCTATGTCAATAAAAAAATCAAGAAGGTTTTAAAAATTACTCGTATATAATACAATATATGTGCCTTCGAATTTCGTTTCTTGTCTTGTTGTGTTGTTGGTTTGCACTCTCAACAATGTTTACCCTACACATTTAAAATCATATCAAATTAAACAAATTCTTGATGGCACAATTTACCAAATGGTAGGATTCACATTTTTGGACTGTAAAAAAAAGAAGATTAAAAGAAAAAACTAGAAAAAAAAACAGTTACGTTTATAAAGTGATGTCAACAAGAGTTACACTTAATATGATGTAAGACACATGTCAACACTCACTTATGATGCATTGTTTGTCCTTCATGTAATGTGTTTCATGACATGAACATATTTCTTCCACGCAAAGTAGGTCATCTTGGCATTCAATCTGAGAAGTACACTGCATACCGGCCATTTGTCCTGTAATGAACAATTACATAAGGGAAGAGATAGTGTGTATACATTCATAACTCAAAAATATTGCTGGAATTTCTGTACTTCTACATGACTTGAATTCAAAGTATAATCGTTTTCCCCGGGGGAATTAAACACCTATTGCTTTAGAATACTGGAAAACGTAGTGTGGGCTCTTCAAACAATGACTACATTGACGTCGAAGTCTTTATTTGCGCGTCTAAATGTGCATATAATGCAGTAATATTAGTAAAGTTGAATAAGTGTTATCCTTTAAACAAATCTGAGAATATATGCCCATTTTCTTATTCATAATGAACTTAAAATTTCGGCAACAAGAGTTTACCGATGTTCACGTCTCATATATCGGTTTTGAAGATATATATCAAGGTGGCTAAGTTAAATAATGAAACCGCATGAACTCTTAACCTGTTTAAACTCATAAGAGATAGAGATTCTAAATGTTGACAGGTCAAAAAAATAAAATATTCGCGTACAAAACGGGGTTAACATCTGTCTTTTTGTATTTATTGGATTATGTATAAGTATTGAAGGATATCTCAAAGACATGGAAATACCTAAACCGAATGAAAAAATATAAAACTCAATCTCACATCTCGATGAAAGTTCAAAATGGCAGGTTTTAGCTGCAGTTTTTTGGCATGTTGGATATTAGATACGGTCATATGCTGTATGGTGGCTGCCTCATTGACCTTTACTTAACATTTGCCTTATTCGTAAGGCTGATCTTTTCACGAATTTGGTTGATGTCGAAAAAATATAAGTTCCAAAAGAACAAGAAACATTTTGATTTTACCTGTAGACTCAAAATACATTCTTCAAAAAATGTCAGAGTAGAATTGTTACCAATTCCTGTATTATAATAGCAAAAATATCTTAACATTGAAGAAACATATATCTTACTCATTATACAATTGGTTCCATTCCATATAAGTTCTATACTGCATCGGCAGGTACTCTCTAAACATATAAGCTTTCCCCTGCATTCAAATGAATTTCGGCATGTTGAATTAAATGTGTAGCCTGTTAAATTAATAAGTATAAAGAGACATCATAACAATCATAAAGAAATCAGTGCTAGATCATTATTTTCATGTATGTCTTTGTTTGATTGTCTATGTTAATTTGATTTGAAAGCAAACCAGGTAGAGTCAATTTACTGCACTTATTTTACTTTCAAAATTCTTAAAATCGACACTAAATTTCCCATTACAGCATCTTAGTGTACAATGTATGCATCTAGACATTCTGGTTCTTTGTTTCTTATTTCAAAATATCAAATTGAAATAGCATTGATTAAAATTTACGTTTAACAAAAATTGTTATAGATGTTTGCAAATTTTGACTATTTATTAGAAAATGAATAGAAGAAAAATTGACATCCATAGAAAGAATTTCTATTGAAATATTGATTGTCTTTAAATTACATTTTAATTTATTTAGGTTTCGTGTGTCTTTTGATACAAAATTTTACTATGATATTGTAAAATGTGCATTATTCTAGAATTATGTCATCGATAAAATTATGTAAAGCTAAATTAATGTTTATATATGACTCTCAATTGTTTACATTATTTAAAGTCTTGAGAATATTCTTTAGATTTCGCCTACTTTACATACTGTCTCTTACTTTTAAACAAATACAGGTAGAATTAAAACTACCCTCTTTATCAAACCCATGCTAACATTTGTGAAGGTTGATATTTATCGTGACATTTTGTAATAGGAAATCTTGTAAAGTCTCCTGTAACATAAAATATTATTTTCAGATATTTGGTTAAATAATTGTCAGAGTTAATTGCCGAAACGGAGACACAAGTCCTACTGTATATGAGTGATAACCACGGTAATAAAAAGTTAAACAAATTACTAATAACAAATCCATACACACCACATTGATAAATTGAACTTTAAAATAATAAAAAAAACATATAGTTTACCTTTATTTATGGAAATGTATTCTACAGATCCAACAAGAATTGCTAGGGCAGAAATAATCAAGCTAAATGTTAATACCATTTTCCAACTGTAATGAATCGCGCAAATCATAGCCGTGTGCTTATATAGAATTTTGAGGCTACTTAAGGTATAAAAGAGACGGAAGATATCAAAGGGATATTCAAACTCATATGTCGAAGATAAACTAACAAAGTCAAGGCAAAAAACAGTCTAGAAAAAACACAATAGAAAACTAAATACTGAGCTTCATGGACCCCACCAAAAAACAGGGTATATCTAAGGGCTCATATACGAGTTTTATGAAAGTCATACACAAATACACAAATACACAAATACACAAATACAAAACCTTTTTCGAACTTTTTAACCGGAAAAGTTTTTTTTCCATAATTGCACTTTTTCAATTTTGAAAACATAATATATATGTATAGATCTTGACTTAATTATTTTCCATAGGTCAAATAGAACTGTCTGTTTCAAATAGGTAATAAAACGTACGTAAAACATATGTTTGTGTGTTTCATATTTCCACTCCATTGACTGCTCGTGAATAGTACGAACAGCTGACTAAAAGACTGAACATGACTTAATGATTTATTGTGCATACCTATTAGATGATGTTAAGATCAAAATGACTGTTTCAAATTAAAATTGGTTTACTGTATATCCGATTATCAACCGTGCATTTTGTTGTTATTTTTCTTTGTTGTTCTTTTTGTGGGCGTTCTTTATACGAATTCTTGTGAAATTAAAATAAAGAAGACTTTCATTATCTTCTCTAATATGTATACCAAAAAAAAAAGAATAAATTCCGACAGCTTAACAATCCTTATTTTTATTAGATGGATTAGGTAATCTCGTCAAGGCATTTTTTTTTCAAAATCCAACAAATCAATCGACATTTTAAACAAAAAAGTAGATATCTTGATCATATATAAAAAAGAAGATGTGGTATGATTGCCAATGAGACAACTCTCCACAAGAGACCAAATGACACAGAAATTAACAACTATAGGTCCCCATACGGCCTTCAATAATGAACAAAGCCCATACCGCACAGTCAGCTATAAAAGGCCCCGAAATGACAATGTAAAACAAGTCAAACGAGGAAACTAACGGCCTAATTTATGTACTAAATATGAACGAAAAACAAATATGTAACACATAAATAAACGACAACCACTGAATTACAGGCTCCTGACTTGGGACAGGCACATACATACAGAATGTGGCGGGGTTAAACATGTTAGCGGGATCCCAACCCTCCCCCTAACCTGGGACAGTGGTGTAACAGTACAACATAAGAACGAACTATAAAAATCAGTTGAAAGAGGCTTAACTCATCAGATGGATAAAAATACAAATACTACAATTAAAAGTGGACGTGGCCAGTTACTTGTAAATCCAAACAACAAAAAGACACTAAGTACAGACCTGAGAGTACTCGCAGTTATTGACAGTTAGATCAAAGCCACTAACAACTAATAAAAAAAATCATATATCTGAGACTAAGTTATCAATCCGTACACATCCAAAATCCAATGGATTTAGTGTAAAAACGTCATAAACAGTCAGAGAAAAACATGACCTTGTGCAATGCCAAGATACAGGTATCGACAGATTGTAGATCCGTGAATGTGTATATGTATATAACAATAATATTTAGTTTGCTTTTAATCTGATAACAAAATCAATATCAGTACCAATAAAACAATATTTAATGATCTAATAACAGTGTTGAATTGGTAACCTTCTAGAATAAGTTTATTTAAAGGATCGATAAGTTTACCAGGATCGTTTCTAAATTTCCGGGTACGATAAACAATATTGCCGTAAAAATGAGGATGTGCAATCCCGTTTGAAATAAGTTTTCTACAGGTACAACCAAACTTCAAAACCAAATCTGTGGAAGAGTTTAGTAAAGGTTTTAAGTAATTTCTGGTAACGAAATCCCTGGCTTAATAATTTATCAGTAATACATAGATTACGTTCGTTAAAATCAAAAACGTCACAACAGACACGGGCATAGCGAGCGAAATATAAACACCGTAAGATGGTGCCAAAGGAACATCACCATTCAAAAAGGGAAAATTAACAATAGGGAACGAAAAATCGAAAATCGAAAAATATTTTAGGGTGGAGTTTCCCGTATAAAACCGAAATATCTAAATCTAGGAAAGGACAGTTGTTACCGTTTAAATTTGATTTATTTAAAGTAAGTTCCTTTGGGTAAATTTTGGCAGTATATTGAGAAAATTCTTGATTAATGAACGAAAAAATATCATCAAGATAACATAACGGTAAGTGTTGTTGAATTTATCAATTAAATGCAATTAAGACGGGTCTTTACTGAGTTTGGTCATAAACTGTGATTCATAACAGTACAAAAACAAGTCTGCTATTAAAGGGGTGCAACTAGTGCCCATATGAATACCTACAACCTGTCGATAAACTTTGTCGCCGAAACGTACATAAATATTATCAAGGAGAAAATTAACAGCTTCAAAGGAGGGGCGAAAGATACCAGAGGGACATTCAAACTCATAAATCATAGATATCATGATATGTTAACCTTGTCATCAAATCTGGTTTTACTCGCGTCTGTATTACTTAATTATAAACCTGTTCAACCACTAGAAAGATGCCACTGCAGATTGACGTTTCATTTTCTGGAGTATCAACACAGCCCAGTTGTCAGCAATTCTGAATAGTTTTCAACTTATTGATTTAGTCTTCCAACTGATTTGATTCAAACGCTACTTATTAGTCTTATATAGATGAAACGCGCTTCTAATGTTTTTGCACTCCATTAATTACAGGGAAAATGACTCATCTAATTTTCACTTCCATGTCTGTTAGATATGAAACTTTAATACTTCAACTGACATTGGTGCAATAAAGAGTACTTGTATATTTTATATATGAGAAATAGAAACAAGGTCAGAAATGTTAAGCATCAAAGATTAATTTGATTGCGTGCGGACTTGTTAATAAGCTAGAGTCTATCAGGAATCATCATGGTGAAATTTTATACAAATTCATTCCATACCATCTTCTCTCAGTCTTTCTTTTTTTTTTCTTGAAATACATGAATGTAATATGAAAATCTGGAGATGTGGTATGATTGCCAATGAGACAATTATTAACCTGAAAACAGATGACGTTGACTTCAACCAATGTATTTCCATTTATTTCTATGTTTTACATATTAAAGTTTCCTCGTGTATATAAGTGTTTTACTTCAGTATTCAGGAGTAGACTACATAAGTACGATGCACTTGTGTCTGCTCCCTAATGTTGCTTTCTACAAATAAACAACTAAACTTAATCACAAATACCATCGTATCAAGTATCGAAATATTATCTTTAATGATTATATTTTTGTGTGTTTTGCAACACGTCTTATGTCTATTTGTTTACATACTAGCAAATGACATATAAAAGCATACGTAAAGACGTTCGAGTATGGACGGGTCTTCACGTCTGTATTCTTTAATTTTTAGACCAATTTTATTTATCCTTTTTAGGCCATTTACCCTCTATTTTTTATATTTTAGAACCCCATTATTCCCCGTTTTTTATTTTTGTGGCCTATTTTTCTCCATTCTTTAGTTTTCAACCCTTTATCCTCTGTTTTGTGTCCATTATTCTATATAAATTCAGTAACCCAATCCAAACCCTCAGACATGATATTATTGCGTCTTACATTTGTTTATGTATCTCTCTTCCTCTCACTCATGATAAAAATGGTATGAGACGCTCAAATAAAACGTTTATGTCTGTTTGTTTATACCCTTTATAAGAAGTCCTTGTGATATTTTAAAAGATTTTTTATGCTTTGTTTTTTCTAACGCAGCGTTTTAAAGACTCTTAAGGAAAAAGTATTTGTCTAGTATGGTTTATTGGATTTATATGTAAAATATTGCAAGTTCTTATTGATAAAACGCAAATAAATTGTAAGTTTAGTTTGACTGTGTGACAAATATGAAAACTTACTAAGTCATGAAAACTCTTATCTAAAATGAATTTAGAAATAATACGCAGAAGACACGAAACCAATTTATAAAAAAGGTAACGATATGAAGAGGTGTCAGAAAATACAAAAGGAAAGGAACAATATACTAACGAGACAAAAAATAGTAACGAAATAGGTCTGACGGCCATGAAGTACAGCAAGTTAAGACAAACTTTGAATTTCATAACCGGGAATTATATCAGATTCTCAGAAAGGATAACCATAATTCAAAAGTACTCTGTTCCTCATGTGTGATCCGTCATGTTGCCAAGTGGTTAACTTGTTATGGAAACATTTTATACGGGACAAAACCAGTGAATCAAGTAACGTGAAGCACTATTGGAAATATTTTACGACACTTTATGACAAACTCACCCGAAAAAAATCTATCATTTCTTTTGTCGTTCGAAAAACCATATATACATTTCATTCAATTTCATTGGTTAAATTTTAGAAACCCCCATCTGGTTCATGTTGTCGAAATGTCCATAAAAAGAACCTGCATTTGAAATGGTTTATATATTAAACAGCAGTTAAAAAATTTAAAATTTGTAGGGGTTGTGTTCATCTAGCAGAATCAGCAATTATCATTGTTTTGATACTCGCGTACTCCACATAATATATCTGTATGTCTGATTTTTGTTGGGACATCAGAAGTAAGCCTCTCCTAGTTAACCTGTTATACAGATGGATCATATAGCAAGGAGCCAACGGTGTGCCTAATCTGACGAATGTCATTCATGCCTATGGGTAGAAAAGCCTCAGAATATGGCATGTCGCGAAAAACATCTTTTTTTTCTAAAAGCAGAGAATACATTTGTACTAAATGTAAGATTGAATCTCTGTCAGACAAAGTATATCTTAAATCGGTTTGTCTGTTTAGAAATACCCATTTGTTTTACTGATCTCAAAACATTAGTTTGAATTTAATATAATTGTAGGTTTGTTATGTCTTTTTTTTTCTTTTTATGTTTTCCCAAACCTTAAATAAATGAATCTCAGTTGAAATATACATGTCACGCTAAAACAGATGCGTGAAGATCGTAATCGAGTTCGACGAT